CTATCCCTTAGAAAACTATCTTCATATTTTTGAACCAATTTTAAGAAAGCACAAATATTATTAACTAGAAAAAAATAACAGCTCAGATATCAACCTGCCCTCTCAATAATTTGAAAAGCTTGCAATTTCTGTTTCAAAGAATAATTTCTAGATAGTTTTATGTCTTCAGCTAGCCAATTCTCTTTGTAACGTAGTTGTCCCCATTCCTGTTCACATTGGTATATTTTGTGCAAAAATATTATGAGCCTTCAAGAATAAAACACACGTGGTCATCTATTCCTTTACTGCCAGCACACTGGAGTTTAACATAGAGCTTATTTTAAAATCAGCCAAGAAATTCTTGGAGTTCAAGTTGTTTTTCCATTAGAGGTATGAGACTTGGCATAACATGTTTCTGCTCTGGAAAAAGTCCACTGACACTCTGAATCACCTGGGAACATAAATTAACATTAAATAGATCTTAGCACATAACTCTCAATGGCACAGCAGGGAAAAAAATAATAGGAAAACTATAACCTTGTTTCCAAAATGTATTCACATAAAACTTCACAATATTCACTGCCCAGTAGGACTATGTCAAAATAATTAGACAAGCAGTCTATATTTAAGAATTCTGAGAAGACTGTTGGTGAGAATATAAGAAGGGATAGCCACTGTAGAAAACAGTATGGTGGTTCTACAAAAAATTAAAAATAGAATTACCATACGATCAATCAATTCCACTTCTGGGTATACTAGTATACACAAAAGCATTTGAAAGCAGGGTCTCAGATATCTATACATACATATTCATGCCAATGTTATTCACAATAGCTAAAACATGGAAGCAACCCAAGCGTCCATCAGTGGATAAATGGGTAGGTAAAATATGGTATATACACACAATAAAATATTATTCAGCCTTAAAAAGGAATGAAATTCTGCAATATGCTACAACATGGATTAACCTTGAACATATTATGCTAAGTCAAATATGCTAGATGCTAGTCACAAAAAGATAAATACTACATGATTCCACTTATAGGAAATACTTAGAATAGTCAAAATCGTAAGGACAGAAAGCATAATGGTGTTTTCAGGGGCGTGAGCAGGGATTGATGGAGACTTGTGGTTTAATGGGTATAAAAATTCAGTTCTCCAGGATGAAAAGAGTTATGGGGATGGATGGGAAAGGTGGTCGTGCAACAACACGAATGTTTAATACCACGGAACCACACACTTTAAAAAGTTCAGACTGTAAATTTTATGTGTATTTCACCACAATTTTTAAAAGTGAAAATTTAAAAAAAAAGAATCCTGTACAGAACTCAAAATAACCATGAGGCCATCAATTTAGACACACATGAATGAGAACTAAATAGAAAGTTTGCTCCCACTACTTGCTCTTGGACTAAGAACTATGCTTGTCATATATCAGGGTGACTCTATAAACAAGGCTCCTTCACTATTGCTTAATGACAATGGAAAAGATGAAAATTATTCATATGCTTTTGCATCGAGTTGGAGGACAATTGATTGCCCTAGTAGCTGGTTCAAGACTTTCTGTTAGGTAAACATCTAGCTTGACTCAAAAAATGCCAACAGCAAGACCCTTGTTATAATATCTGGAATCCAGAAAACACAGTGAGAGGAGGCAATGAGAGGAAGATGGAAGATGGAAAGCAGCATGATGGAGGTGACACCGCAGTGTTGGTATAAGCAGAGAGCAGTGAAGAGTCAATCTTTGCCTTCACGTGGGCTTCCGGTGGAGCCAGCACAATCAATGCATAAGGATCCCTGAAGAAATCCGTTGTTGGGAATTTGTACAAATCATTGCCAGATGTGCTTCATTCTTTTTTTTTTTTTAAATAATTTTACCATTTTATTTATTTACTTATTTATTTTTTAATCCTCACCTGAGCATATTTTCCCATTGACTTTTAGAGAGGTGGAAGGGAGAGGGAGAAACAGAGAGAGAGAAACATTGATGTGAGAGAGACATATCAATTGGTTGCCTCCCGCATGCACCCCTACCAGGGCAGTGAACCTCCAACCGAGGTACGGTCCCTTGATTGGAATCAAACGTGGGACCCTTCAGTCCACAGGCTGACTCTCTATCCACTGAGTCAAACCAGATAGGGCTGTGCCTCATTCTTGAAGGCCATAAATTTGGGGGATTAGTGTCAAATGCATAAAATCTCCAAGATGCACAGATGCCTCTGCTGTTGACAGTTGTGTCTGTTCATCACCATCGTAACTAACAGTTATTGACCGCCTAGCTACTACCTACCAAATATTGTTCTAGAAGCTATATTCATATTAACTCATTAGATCTTCCCACCAACTTTATGAGGTACTATTATGATGTCCATTTAATAAGTGAGCAAAGTGAGGCACATAGGGTTAAATAATGGGACCAAAGTCACACAGCTAGTATGGGAGACAAGGTTCAAACCCAGGCCATCCGAGTTCAGTTCCTGCTCTCTTCACTGTTATGCTACTAAGACCTGGTGCACAAAAATTTGTGCACTCGCGGGGGCGGGGGGGTCCCTCAGCCTGGCCTGTGCCCTCCCGCAGTCTGGGACCTCTCGGGGAATGTCCACTGCTGGCTTAGGCCCAGTCCCTGGGGGATCAGGTCTAAGGTGGCAGCCAGACATCCCTCTGGCAGCCCGGGAGCCCTTGGGGTATATCCACTTGCCAGTGGGGAGCAGACCTAAGCTGCAGTTGGACATCCTTAGTGCTGCTGAGGAGTTGGGAGAGGCTCCCGCCACCACTGCTGTGCTAGCAGCCATCAGCCTGGCTTGTGGCTGAGCAGAGCTCCCCCTGTACACTGACCACCAGAGGGCAGCTCCTGCATTGAGCGTCTGCCCCTGGTGGTCAGTGTGTGTCATAGTGACCAGTCATTCCTAGTTGTTCTGCTGTTAGGGTCAGTTTGCATATTACCTTTTTATTATATAGGCTAGAGGCCTGGTGCATGGATGGCGGCCAACTGGTTTGCCCTGAAGGGTGTCCCGGATCAGGATGGGGGTCCCCACTGGGGTGCATGATAAGCCTGGGTGAGGGGCTGAGGGCTGTTTTCAGGCTGGCCACGCCCACAGGCTGGAAGCAGGTATCTGGGATTTATTTAACTTCTATAATTGAAACTTTGTAGCCTTGGTCAGGCTTGAAACCTGCGTTGCCCCTGGCAACCCGGGTTCCCAGCCACTTCTTTAGTGGAGGTCATGCCGGCTGGAAGCAGGTATCTGGGATTTATTTATCTTCTATAATTGAAACTTTGTAGCCTTGACCAGAGCCCAGTGCCGGCCAGGGCAGGCAGGAAGCTTGGCTTCCTCCATCACTGGAACAACCCAAACCTCCTGCTCACTCCAGCTCCGTGGCCGCCCCCATCTTTGTGATGGAGTAAGGGAGTGACAGTTAATTTGCATATTACTCTTTTATTAGATAGTATGTCCCTGCTTCTGTTCAAGATAAGATTTCAATGCTTAACAAGACTCCAGTCATCTAATGTGGTCATGGGTGGCGTAGTTGGTTATCATCTTCCATAAGAAGTATCAAGTTTTATATTACAAGAGACCATAGAGTTTATCTAACCCAGTTTTTCAACCAATGCAGGGTTTCCTCATAACACACCTTTTCTGGTGACAAACCAGCCTTTTTCTAGATACCTTTCATGATGGGAGGCCCTAAATATGAGGATCAGAAAAATGTTTTACTGGAAATACTTCTTGACAACTTTTGAAGATGTCATTTTTGTCAACATCTTAAGGTAACCAGTTTTGTAAATCATCAATGAAATATTTGAGTATGAAAAGTATCACTTAAAATTCCTCAATGAAACATCAACTATTATGGCAAATAAAGCATTCTTTACTAGACTAGGAACATGGGAGTCCCATTTACTGAGTTATACAATCTGTCTCATCAATAAGTGCTTACCTTAGTACACGTGTGTGGAAACAATAGGAATATATATCTGAAGACCTCTGAACAGCTAAGATATGCACCAAAACTAATTTTTTGAGAGTGAGTTAGACCACCAGGGCCATGGGTTTTAACAACTATGGAAGGGCAATAGTCACCAAAAAGAATGATGGTGACTAATAGGTCATCAATAACAATGCTTCAAAGGCAGTTACAAGAAAATTTAAAGTGATAGGAAGCATATAATGGGAGAAACAGTGATTATTATTGTTGTTGCTTGGCTCATAGAGAAAAATAGCACTCAAATTAATATATTAATATTTTCAGAAAATATACCAGAATTCCAGTTATATCCATAGAGTCGGGAAAGAATGTGTCCTTGATAGAGAGCTGTGAAGAGAATGCTTGCCTTGTGTTCCCCCGCAAATTTAGGATTGTATTTCATCTTAAAAAGGAGTTAAACCAAACAAGAAATATATTTCCCAGTCAGGAGCTAAAATACCTAATTCTTTTCAAATCATTTTACAAATAGAAAATCAAAGGAATAACAAGAAAAATTACACCCTTGCCCATATCATTGTTTTTTTACTTTAAAATCAGGATCATCTTAAAATTATTTTATTTTTATATTATATCATATATAAATATTTTATTTTTAATTATTAGTAAATTTAGATCAATACATGCTTCATGTGTAGAGCGTTCAATTTACTATTGGGCATCTAAACACATAGTTGCTTTTAAAATAGATTTTTCATATAATTATAATTCTATGATACTTTGATAATTATGGTATATTCCTAATCATTGAGGGGGTCAAAAAAAGATAATTCCATAAACAAATCACTTTACTAAACAACTCTCCCACTGAAAAGTAATCACCACCACAAGTCCATTTTCAAGGAAAATCTAGAAGATCAAATATAATTGATTATTTATCAATACTATTAGCTTCCATCCGCATTAATCCTAACCTAGTGATAAATATACCTAGGCTATTATGATTCGGTTCACAGATTAGAATAACAAAGTAGAATACAGGCCCTTCGGGTCATAAATATCACTAACAAATGAATTTTGAAGAATTTTCAATTACATACCTAGAGCTATGAGCTTCTTCGATCCGGTGATGTTGCCTCTGATCTGTACAAGAAAAAGACAAGAAGGGGTCATGAGATTTCTACCTGAACTCAACTGCCTAAGAGGCAGTCAGAAGCCTTCCATGTCCATCAACTCCACGAAGTGGCAACAAAATAGTAACTTGGTCGTCATTATAACTGCTATCCAGTGTCCCTCCTGCAGAATGAGACAGAAAGTTCTTCTCATAGAAAAGACCTGGGCAGTAAACTAGCAGGGAATCATTAAGCTGAGATCCCCTGGAATTAAATGTTTTCTAAAATATAAGGCGAAAATAATGCTCTAATCCTTCTGAACATTCCCCAAGATACATTTTCATTTTGCTTTAAGTGCGGGCATTCCTTCCATTATTGTGCTTCACGTTATTTCTCTTCACAGGTCTTGTTGTTTTTTGTTTTTTGGTGTTTGTTTGTTTTTTATGTGTTTGTGTATTTTTTACAAATTAAATGTGTGTGGCAACCCTGGGCAAGCAAGTTTATTGGTGTCATTTTTTCCAACGGGTCAGATAATGATTAGCATTTTTTAAGCTAAAGCATTTTTTGATTAAAGTGGATAGAGTGTTGTTTTAGACATAACGCTAGTATGGCTCACCCAATGGACTACAGCATTGTGCAAACATAACTTTTATATTCACTGGGAAACCAACAATTTCACTGAACTCTCTTTATTGAGATGTTCACTTTATTCTGGTGGTTTGGAACGGAACCAGCAGCATCTCTGAGGCATGCCAGGACCTTGAAAGGCACGCACATGGATCTGTTTTCCTGGCATTTTGCCATGGGAAAATGTTTCATGTTAGCAATAATAATAATTCCACTTACTGCCTAAACCATATATTTTAAAAACACAGATTTTTTTAAAATTTCTTTTTAAAAGCAGTTTTAGGCTTACAGTACAATTGAGAGAAAAGTGTAGGTATGTCCCACATACCTCCGTCCCCCACACATGCACAGCCTCCCTCCTTATCAACATTGCTCTCCAGGACGATACGTTTTTACGCAGGACGAACCTTCACTGACACATAATAATTTCCCAAAGTCCATGGGACGTGTAGTCGTATCATGTTTTTTGTTTTAATTTATATTTCCCTGGTGGCCTACAGTGTAGAACATCTTTGTATTAGCCATTTGCCATTTGTATATTTTATTTGAAATCCAGGACTCAATCAAAGCTCATTTATTGCATACAGGGTTGGGCAGAAATAGGCTTCCAGTTGTTCGTGTGGAAATAATACCTTAATGAATAAATACTAATACAGGAATAAACTGTTTCACATACATGCAACTGTAAACCTACTTTTGCCCTACTCTGCATATTGGCCTGTATATGTAGTTCCCTTTGTCTTTGATGATTGACATTTTTGTGGAGTCCAGGCCAGTTGCTCTGCAATGTCCCTCAGACAGGACAGTTGTCTAGTTGTTCCCTCACAATTAGGCGAGGTGAACATTTGGCAGAGGTACACACTGTGAAATTGGAATGCTTCCCCTTCTCTTTATATATTAGGAAAAGCACAAAATAGGTTGAATTGACATTTTCTTTCAATAACACCTAATGATGGTCTCCTATAAAGCAAATTTGGTGCTACAGTTTGCAACTTATAAAATGCTTCGACATGAATTAATTTATTCAGTTTGTACAACAACACCATGAGGTAAGTATTTTTAATCACTTTTTATCTCTTCTTTGTTTAAAATTGGTGTTAGAGGGAGGAAGAGAGATCAAGAGCAACAGCAGGAGAGAAACATCAATGCGAGAGAGAAACATCTATCAGCTGCCTCCTGCACATGCCTGACTGGAGATCTAACCCACAACCTGACCAGAATCGAACCCGCCTCCTTTTGGTGCATGGGATGATGGTCCAATCAACTGAGCCACGCTGGAAATTTATCCAAGTTTATAAAAGCAGTAAGACTACTTCTGTGACCAAAATTTAAGCACAGAAA